TATTCTTTTTGCCTTCTGCAGAAGTTAATTTTTTAAGTCAGTTTATCAATCTTTTCATAGATGCCACCTTTGATGGTGTTACCTATAAAAAGTCACCATGCCCAGGGTCATCTAGGTTTTCTGATGTTCTGGTAGTTTTGTGTTTTACATTTAAGTCTAATCCATTTTGAGTTAATATTGGTGAAGGATGTAAAGTCTGTCTAGACTGTTTTGCATGTGAATGTTTAGTTGTTCCCAAGCCATTTGTTGAAAAGAGGATTTTATTAGAATTTTGAAAATACACTAAAGGCTGAGAGATTATAAATTCTTCCTTATTACCAAAATAAGGATCCCAACTTCAGAGCCAGATGGTCTGGATTCAAATATAGCCCTTAAGCTGTATGACCTTGGAATGTTACTAAATCTCTGGGCTTGCCTGTGTTATTTATAAAACTAAGGAAGATATAATATTTGCCTCAGTTATAAAATTAGTCTAATACATGAAAAACAACTGGGCCTTGGCTGGAAGGCTGTTGTTGGAGCATTGTCCTGTATGTACACCAGAAATTTGAAGGTTCAATTACAAGTCAGGGCACATACCTAGGTTGCAGGTTTGATTCTCTGACTGATGGGTTTTTTCTCTCTCCCTTAACTTTCTAGAATTGATTAATATATCTTCAGGTAAGAATTAAAATTAAAAAAATTGGAATAGTGGCCTAGATTTACATAAACTATTGGTTCTGGGGAGAAGTGGTACATACGTCTGATATTTTGCATGTTCCTTTGGTCCCATGCAACAGCCTTAAGATTAATTTACTTCACACTTAAAAAAGTTCTATCAAAGTTCCCTATGCAAATTTCTCTGAACTTTTTTGAGAAAAGCCTTAAATTCTGTACTATACTATAATCCTACATTTTGAGATATGTAGATTTTGCCATTGAAGATGCTGACATTGATACTCACTTGTGGTAATTGCTAGTTTAAGACCTGAGAATCAAAAGTGAATTGGTTACATGTTTGTCTGGAAATAAAAGGCATTAGATTGGATGATATAAACCTTAGGACCCTATTTTCTTAGATTTGAAAGGCTTATCCTGCCTCAGGAACTGAGGTATTCCAGGGCCAATTTGCTAACATCCCATTGGTTGGAGTTATCCTGTGCCCCAGAATCTACGTGGGAGGGCATTACAAGTTTACATGGCAAAAGGTGTCAACAAAGGCAAGGGTAGAGAATTTAGACCATCAATGGAATCAGTGACCCACCCTACCTACCCCCAGTCTATTGACAGAAGCCAGAGTGAACCTATTACACCAGGGGAGTCAAACTCATTTTCACTGGGGGCCACATTAAGTCTCAAAGTTGCCTTCAGAGGGCCAAACATGATTTTAGGACTGTATAAATCTAACTACACCTTAACAGTTAAGCAAGAGCTTGGCACTACCGCCAGGTAGAAACAAGGTACCAAGGTGGAGGGCCGGATTTGGCCCACGGGCCTTGTTTCCCACTTGTGTATTACACTAAGTACTGTATTTTTAGGACTAAGACGCACCAGACCGTAAGACATACCTAGGTTTTAGAAGAGGAAAATAAGAAAAAAATTTTTGAACCAAAAAATGTGGTAAAATATTTAATTACCTGTGACCCCACCCCGCTCCACTGCCCCCCCCCCCGTGAACCAGGTAAGCTACATTTGGACTGTAAGACACACCCCCATTTTCCTCCCAAATTTGGGGGGGGAGTGCATCTTATAGTTGAGAAACACAGTATTACGTTCCTCATCTCAAAATCCTCCGAAGGTTTCCCTATCAGTTTAACCAGTCCTTACAACCACCTTCATATTTGCTGGGCCACTCTTACCTTTCTGACATTACCAGCTGACTTTCTTTCTCATTTAAAGCAGTGCTGCGGCCTCACTGGCCTTATTCCTGTAACAAATGCTGTCCTTGATGATAAACATCTCACTTTCTCCTCCTTCAGGTCTTTATTTCAGCAAAGCATTTCCTGACTACCTTACTTAAAATTGCCACAATCTCTGTTGTGGACACTATTCATATGCCGCCCCCCCTTTTTTTTTCCTACAGGAACTTTATTTTTACACAATTCTGAAAGGAAGTTCTCTGACAGATATTTCATTCCCAGCATATACTAAAAGCCTGTAACAATGTCAGACAGGAGGTGCTCAGCATTTGTTGAATGGATGACTTTTTGGGGGAGCAGAGTTTTTAGGGGGAAATCCATGTAGAAAACCCAGGAAAGATTGTGCAGGCAGGAAGGAATCAGTAACTGCCACTGAGGCAAAAGTACCAATTAATTATGTTCAATGAACAGCAAGGAAACCAGTGTGGTTGAAGATGAATGGGTGTTGGAGACTATTAGATGAGGTTAGAGGTAGTCAGGGTCCAGATCACAGGCTTTGCAAATCAACGAAAGCAGAGTTTGTTTAGCACAAGATAAAGTCACTGGAAGTTTCCACATGAAAATGGTTCCACGTGAGAATGGGAGCCCCCGGTCCCAATATAAGAGAATTTCCTCTTTTCCTTTCTTTACATCTAATCTTTATTGTATTTTTCCCCCATTACCATTTGGTACTATTATACCCCCCTCACCCCAGCAATCACCACTGTTGTCCATAGAGAACTGCCTCCTTCAAGTCACAGAAAAGGGTTCCCACAAGTTACAATATTTTGGTTTTGTTTCAAAAACTTCCAACAGGGATTGGGGAAGGGACTGGACGTAGACAAACTAATTGGCAGTGAGATAATAGCTGAAACTGGATGATGGCTCAATGAGAGTTTACATTTTCTTTTTAAAATTTTTACAATTTTCACTTACTCACTTTAGGGAGGGAGGAATATCAACTTGTTCCACTTATTCATTCACTCGTTGATTCTCATGTGTGTCCTGACTGGGGACTCAAACCCACAACCAAACGAGCTACGTGGCCAGGGGTAAATTTTTAAAAAAAAACTTTCCATGTAACTGAACCACATTGACTACAGGGTGTACGTATTCCATTACATACTGACTGGCATTCTGTTGAATTTTACTTGCACTTACAAGACAACTCGAGCTAATAATGCTGCTGGTGGCCTGAATTAGGGTAGCAGTAGGGGAGAAGTTATGTTAGAGTTGGAATGGCCAGGACTTGATGATACACGGCGGCTTAAAGAGAAGTGACATGAAGCTTTCTGGAGAGGATAGGTGGTGTTACTATTTTATTAAGTGAAACGCTGGCATTTTCTAAAAACATGCGCATACTTGCTTATGTGTTTGAAGTACATGGGAGCCACACAAAAGCAAAACTGGTCTGGAGAAAAAAAATTTCTGGAGGAGCAGGCCCTTTGATGGCATTTAAAACACCCAGTCAAAATGGACAAGGGCTTAGCCTCAACCAACTTGGAGCACTTGACCACTAGCATACACAACCAATGCCAGGGCAGTTACTGCTTTTTTCTTTACATTAACAAGGAGTTAATGTAAATTTTATTCACAACCTCAAAAGGACAGACAAGAAGCAAATTTCAGTTAAACAGAAATGATGCAGCAACATAATTACTGGTATGCATGTCTGTACTTGAGTTTGTTCAGTGCCAAGAACTATCTGGATCACCAGCTATCCCGTTTTCTCCATTCAACTGTTTGCTATGCCAACATCCACTACCCCACCTAGAATGAAAATGAGATGTATTTACAGAGAAAATATTTTATTAAGATACTAGAGAATGTAGAACATCTTTTTGAAGCAGAGGCTTCAGTCTATAAATGGGTTACTTATTCCCCCAATAGGTTTATCCCTTAACTTTTAAGCACAGCCTTAAGGATTTCAGCTTTAAAAAAATTCAAGAATTTTCTTCCTTAGGTATTTTAAATTGGTTATACTGATTGGAAATTCCCTGAAATGGAACAGCTCAATTATTTGATATCTTTGTAGCACCCCAAGTTCATTCATAATAGTTCCCAAAGCTGCACTAATACAATATTCTAATATGAGTTTGACGATATTGGTTCCTCCAGATAAAATGTGCAAAGAAAAGGATTCAGTGGATTTTTTTTTTAACCACTGTCTCCTCTAGGGCACTATAATAAGCACAAACAATTGAGCTTTTAATTTAACCAAGGTTCTTCTTATTATTAAATTGACAATGATTGAGTGTACTTGTAAACTCATCCTTTTCTTTCAATTCATCCAGAGGTCTATAATCCTAGAATCAGGATAAAAGGATTGTAAGTCACTGGAAAATTTAAAAAGTATTGAATACATCTTCCAGATTCCACTTAAAGCCTACTGAAAACTGTGTTTTAAACCTTTAGGCCTCAGCAGGCTAGTGAATAGGTAAACTTTAAATACTAGAGGACAAATATATTTATGAAAAATTATAGCAAGGCATTTACCAGAATTCTCACAGAAATGCTTATTAACCTACTTTACCTGGCACCTGTCAATAGCATCTGAGGAAAATTTTTACAAAGGTAATTTAGCAGTCTAAGCAACAACACACAGTAAAATTTTGGCACCTATGTTACAGAGCCCAATAGTTTTGCCAGTTTCTGCAAGCAACCTAATTGAGTAGGACAGCAGGTGCATCAGTAAAATTCCAATACCATTTATCAAAGTGTTTTGCTCAACTTTAAATAAATCATTCATCTAGAGTTTTACTTGATTTTTACAGATTAGAAGAAACCCAAATGACTCTGTTACATTTACAATCAAGTAAGAATCTCTTAAGACATCCAAAATGAATGGGAAATTACTTGTCTGATGCCTATGGTGGGCCGAGAGGCAGAAAACTAACATTCTCTATTTTCCAGTGACCCTGGGAGAAAAAAAATATACTGTTTCACGATATTGATCTACATGAAGATATGTCTGCCAATGCAAATGTCTATCACTATGTCCACCCCTCTTTAAAAAGACATGCCAGGGCATGCATTATCAGTGGGGGTGGTATCACCCCCAAATGGGACCCAGAAAGCCCTCACTCTTTTTAATACATAAAACAGATACAATACACATGTAGCTTATCTATAGTAAAATTTATTGGGGTACTATTAGAAAAGTCTAAAAAGGCTTCCTGGGGGAGGGTGATAATGAGCTTGGAGAAACACTGAATTAGAAGCCAATCTCCCAGTCACATGCATTTCCTCTCACAACCATCATTATGCTGTGTCAAAATATCCTGTGGTATTTTTGGTATTTGGAGTTTTCTTAATAACATAATAAATATCTCTAGGACAATATTCCAGAATAATTAAGATTAAGAAACTATGACCAGCTCTAAATACACATTTAATTATGGTATCTAAGAGACTTATCCTTTGAAACTGACACCAAGTTAGGAAAGTCAACATTTATCCAATCATACAAGTACAATTTTAACATCTATATTAAGAATTACATATTTGAGGCCATAAATTGGCATTGGCAGCTGAGTCCCAAAATTACCACTTAAAATTCAAAATGAAAATCTGCAGTCTTTTCAGAAAGCATTTCCTTTCTTTTATACTGTCACAGGTGATATTCATTTATTGTAATATTGTAGTCAGTAAACACTACTTTGTCATTATGAAGAAAAAAACTATGATCAGACAAAGATCATAATGTAGTTCTGGAAGACTACACATTCTTTCACTATACACAGTATATAATAGAACAGAGTACACTTTGAACAGCAGTAACATGCAATGATTCAGTTGTAGAAATGTTATGTAGTTTCCACTACATCAGAATTCTGTGTAGGTGTTTACAATTTGGGAGCTACAAGGACAAAAAGAGCAATTATTTAATGCTTACATAGTAGAGACACCTGAATGTATAACATACATTTTCTACTGGACATTAACAAGGAATTTACAAAAAAAGAAGACTGACCTACATAACCTAAGTATAAGGGTGGACTTTATTTTTTTTAAAAAAGTCTTTTGAGGACTACAAATTACAAAGTAAAAGCAGATCACTATGTAGGAACCTAGTGAATACATTTTGCCTGTGCATGAAAACTTGATCAAAGTTATTCATTTAACAATTTCACCCCATTCACAATGATATCAGTAATAATGCTCTCCTTAAGGTTACTATACAACTTTATTTCAAATTATACTACACATTATTCCCTCCAGATGAACTGCTAAACACCAAATTCTTGGCTCAAAAAAATGGCACCTCTGAAAGGGGCAACTTCCACCCAGTCTCTGGTGGCATTATTCCAACCTAGTTTCTTTCAACAATCAAAACTTCCAAAATCTTCACATGTAAGATAAAGTTCTTTCCACCAAAAAGTGTGGTCATATTTTGTTTTCTACTGACTACATACATATATAGATGGATGACAGCAAGAAAAGATGAAAATTAAAAGGCAGCCACTAAAATAAATGAATAAACTGTATAGAAGAGATAGGTGGTTCATGGCAATTAAAAATAAAAGGCAACTAGGGTAAAGGCATTTCCTTTACTCACACTATTCCATGAGTCCTTTCCTACCAATCTAAGTATATGACAAGTGTTAACTTTGTTAAGTGACAAGATTTTTCTAAGGTACAGTTGAAAATGGTATGAAAAGAATACCCAGCTATTTTGCCTGGAAAGATACAACGGAATGCAGAAATTTCTCAATGGGAAAAGCTCAACTTCCTTCTTCCCACCACCTCTGCCAAGTACAATTTCCCAAAGACCTCACTTTCAAGCTTGTTCTCCACGGCTCCACTAAGGAATGGAAACCAGAGAACAAAAAACTGAGCTCAAGACATAAGGGTTAAAAATTAAGAAAATATTAACATGGAAGCAATGGCCCAAATACTCAAGAGTCATGTCAATGAATTCAACTGCTGTATATGAGGTTTTCCTGGATGAGGAGGGCTTTGGGCACACCAAATTATCACACAAATCATTGCTTTTTGAGACTTTGGATACTTTTACAGTTTAATTTGCAAACAGAATTTTTATAACAAATTATTTTTAACCAAATCATATCTTGAAAACTTTATATAGAAAACCCAGGAAAAAAGTGAACTGTTCATTGTGGAAGGCCTTAAATTACATTATTACAGTAGAAAATACAGGAGGTAGAAGATAACTGAAAAGACTAATGCAACATTAGATTCAAATCTATAGCTCCTGTAGCTACTTACAACATGGTTTTTGAAACTAAACCCAACATTTCCAGTAACCATAGAAACAGTTAAAATAAAATTTGCTATGAAAGCCCTTATATCATGCTTGATATAGGGAGGTAGGAAGATGTAAGAACCAGGACACATGAGACATGACATTTTATCTACAACTCCTGTTTGCTTTACTGAGGGTGTAGTTTCAAAATTCAGTCACCTTCTTCAGCTTCAGACTCAGATTCTAGAAAAGGGGGAAAATGCAGTCAAGCATTATACAGTATCAGAAAACAAGTTCTCATTTATAATTGTGAAGCTTTTTATGATAATTAAAGGATCTTATTAATGTCCTACTTAAAATACGGGCATATTCAAAAGTATTCATTTATAAACGCACAATTAGTAAATATTAGATATTCTCAAAATTTTCAAATTTTCTCCAAAGAATGTTTAGTATTATGGCCACCAAAATATTTCAATAATTAAAATCTAGTTTTCCTCACCTACCTCAAATAAATTTACAAAAATCTGTACTCTAGGTACAAAATGGCATCTGAATCAAAGAAGGCAGCATGTGTGGACTCATTCTATGGATGGCCAACTAAAACCAGTTCTCTGGCTTTACCAAACTAACTGCACAAAAGACTTACCTTCTTCAGCATTTTTGAGCCACTCCACAAACTTTTTCATTTGTTCAAGGAAGACACTTTTCCCCTTTGCAACATGTGCATCTTTATACCACTTCAGAATGGGCTCCTCACTCAGGACTTCAGCTATAAAGAAGAGAATGATCATTACATTCAGGTAGTTTTCGTACACGTCTCTAACCACATAGTTAGAACCCAACTAAGGTGCAAATCCCTGCATGGCAACAAAGATCTTACTGGGGGGCATCCTGTACTCAAACATTCTCTAATTGTTTTCAACAAATTAATTTTTTAAAAAACAAAATGAGAGCCTGAGATTTAAAAAAACTTTTTATCAACTTGTTGCCCAAGTATGAACCTGCTGCTAGGAAAAAATGTTTTAAACCAGTGATTCTCTTAACTGACAGCAATTTTACTCCTCAGGGGCATTTGACAATGTTTAGAGACATTCTTGATAGTTACACTGGGGAGAAGTACTATTGATATAACATCTCTTGGGCAGATGCCAGGAATGCTTTTAAACATTCTTCAGTGTACAGGTTGACAGTGACCTACAAGAGTTATTTGAGCCCTTGCTGGTGTGGCTCAGTGGGCTGAACTTTGGCCTGTGAACTGAAAGGTCACTGGTTCAGTTCTCATCAGGACACATGCCTGGGTTTCAGGCCAGGTCCCCAGTAGGGGGTGCTCAAGAGGCAACCACACATCAATGTTTCTCTCCCTCTCTCCTCTTCTAAAAAATAAACAAAAGCAAGCCACAGTTATTTGGCCCAAAATATCAGTAGTACCAAGGTTGAGAAATGATCAGGGATATTTGTTAATTAAAAAAATATATATTTATTTGAGAGAGGGGAAGGGAGGGAGAAAGAGAAACATCCATCAGCTGCCTCTTGCACATGTCCCAAAAGCAGAGAGACTAGGGACTGAACCTGCCACAGAGGCATGTGCTCTGACCAGGAATCAAATCAGTGACCTTTCCATTTGGATTTGTGGGACGCCCAACCAGTGAGCCACAACAGTCAAGGCTGATTTGTTTTTAGGTATGAAAATGGTACTGTGCTTTATTTAAAAAAGAAAAAAAAAAGTCCATATACTTCACAGATCAATACTGGAAAAACTAAGAATTAAATAATTATTTCTATGATTTATTTCTAAATAATCTAAGTGGCAGCAAGTAGGGGCACACATACTTTTAAGAAACCTAATCACAAGCTGATAACCACTGAAGCATGGACTACTTGGGAGTTCGTACCATTCTTTCTGTTTTAAATTTTTATTATATTGATTTTAGACAGAGAGGAAAGGAGAGAAAGAAACATAAATTTGTTACACCACTTATCCATGCATTCATTGGTGGATTCCTCTATATGTCCTGAATGGGAATCAAACTCCAAACACCCTGGCATATTAGGACAACACTCCATCCAACTGAGCTACCTGGCCAGGGCCCCATTCTTAAAACAAAACAAAACAAAACAAAAACAAACAAACAAAAAAAAAAAAACAACAAACCCCAAAAAACAAAAAAACAAGCACCCGATTCAATGGCAGTCAATTCAATTCTGTGATCAGAGTAAAATATTTTAGGGAGCTGGTGTTCAGACAACTACTCTTCAGAATTTTGTGTTCAGAAAATTGTAATTTTAAATTACCTTTGTAAAAAAGCACCACTATTTTCTGGAAGGCTTTCATGAAATGAATGTTATCGTAGCAATACTCCTGAATCTTCAGTAACAGAGTCAGCTCAGACTGACCTTGAGTAGTAAAGGCAGCAAGGAGAGGGCTGTATTGCTTTTGAAGGGGAGAAAAGATTTAGTTACTCATTCTGCTGGCCATCTATTATAAAGTTTCTGAAATATAGAACATAACTCATCTTCCACAACCACTATGAATTTTATCTATTTAGTGGAAATAAAAAAGTAGTGAAGCAGAAAAATCTGCTAAGCATCTATATCAAACAAACAACTGCATCAAGAATTCCAGTTAACTGTCAATACAATGTTTAATATTTTATAGGAAAGAGAAGAAAATGCTTCTATTTGCCAATTTTCCCAAAGGCAAACACCAAATTGCAGGCTTAAGCTACTTTCCAGCAAGTATTCATTTTTAACCTGTGAACCAACCAAAGTCCAAGTCAGACTTTTTAAAAGGTTGTATCAATAATTAGTATGTTGTCTATTTACTGGTAAATTATTCCCAGGAACCACAAATGCAATAAATGCTCTTAGAAAAAAGCACAGTAACAGTTTACTTTTCCCAGTGTAGAAGCAGAATGTTTGGTTACAGAACAGATCTAATACCTTCAAGTGCTTGATGGCTTGCTCTGCTACAAGCTCCTCTTTTTTATTCCATTCCACGGTGCTCATTACACTGGACCAGACTATTCCAATGACAACGGGTTCTGGGATGTTGTTTTTCTTCATCTCCTCCTTGACATACAAAATTATCTGCAAAAGAATCCAAATTTAGTTATCAGAAATTATATGTATGCATGTTATGTATGTACATATTTCATATATCAAACTTAGAACTTATACAAAAGCATGAAAAGACCTTTCCATGCAAGCAGCAACCACCACATGTGTACCACATGTAATCAAAGAGCTTTTGGACCTGGAATGGTGGATCTCTAGTTCAAACCTTAGTTTACACATAGGCAAACTGGCTAGGAAAGGACTGAGATGGAAACAGGACTGTCCACTAGCTTACACCCTACAAAATCCCCAAGTATGACAATTTCTGGACACCAATAAGGCACTAAGGATGAAAAAGACAGAGGCAAAGCCCCAGCATAATATTCTACAGCTATTAAAGCCCACTCTGGTGAAATACTTAAAATTTTTTCTTTGCCAGAAACTTGGCCATATAATGACAGTTTAAACAAAAATATCTTACATCCTTAAACGGATCACCACGGGACATCTGTTCTTGAAGTTCTTTCTGGAGTTCCTTACGAGCTCCAATGGTTTGCTGATTCCGAACATATTCTGAAAGCTCTTTTAAGCCCGCCTCAGTGAAGTACTTCGTGAAGTGTTCAACGCTTTGTTTATTGGCAGGAAAAAGTTCCTGAAAGGAGAATTTAATGTTAAGTAAATGATCTTTAAATCAGATTAAGAAAAACTGTTTTTCTTCACAGGTTAAAATGACAAAGTTCTGTTATTGCACTTTCCTAGCAAGAATGGGAAAAAAAATGAAAGAAGTTACAAACCATCAGCCTGTTATCCATGCTGACTTTCCGAAGACTTGCAGCTACTGCATTGATATCTTTTTCATTGATCCATGATTTAAAGAGCTTTACAGCAAAAGCTGCTGAAACCCCTATAGAAGAAAAAAGCATACTTAACAGAAGTTCCATCCTGGACTCAACCTCTGCATCTCTCCATTTCCTCCCTCCATAGAGTTCAACTACACAGGATTCCTCACTTTATCTGCACACTTACCCCTGGACTTCCTTCTGCTACTGCTTACCATTTAACTCCAATTTCTCTATTCTAACATTTGCTGGTTATGTATTCTTAGTCAAGTTACTTAAACTGTTTTCCAATGTATAAAATAAATGTAACAGTTCTTACACTTGACAGGGTTGTTGTGAGAATTAAAATATTAATATTAAAATGCATGTTACATACTCAGTACTCTCAGTAAAATAAAGAAATTAGCCTTTTATTATTCTAAAGAATAATTTAACTATGGAAATCAATATGAGACTTATTTCCCTTTTCAGCTTGACATTTTTCCCAATGGCACTTCCTCTGTTAAACAAGTTTCCAAGTCTCCCAATTGGAACTCATCTTCTGAGTTACCACAGAACTGAATTTTCTTTACTTTGCATCTGGACCCTGGATATTTGCTGTATGCCTAAAGCAAGCCATTAACTCTGGATGCCCAAAGTATACAACAAATGTCTAATGAATTTAAATGCAACTACTCAATTTAAGGATAGTTAAAAACACTATTACACAGGTCAAACCTAGATAAATTATATCCTGTATCAGTTCATCTTTCATGCTCTTATCTATCCTACCCTCAGACAACTAAAGACTACCCTTTACTAAAAGTTAATTACCTTCTTTAACCAAATTCTCATTATAAAGGCTATTAAGAATGGATGCATTAAGTGTTCCATTAGCCAGAAGAACACCAGTCAACATAGCCAGCTTGTTCCTCTCCGACTCCGAAAAACCCTTTAAGAACAGCAGCAGCTATAAAAGGAAATAGTTATGGGTTAAAAGAGCAATTGTATTATACAAAGGGAAGCAATAAAGCATACTATATTGGTGACAAGTATGGGCTCTAGAGTACCACCCAAGTTTCTGCCTCAATTATAATACTCATTAACTAAGTGATCTTCCTCAAGTTAACTTCTGCGTCTCAGTTTCCTCATATGTAAAATGCTGATAAAACTTGTTTCACAGGGTTTTTGTGAACAGTAAATGAGTTAACAGTTAGAATAGCGTCTGATACCCTATAAATGTTACTAAAAGCATTACCAGATTTTCTATGCACCTATATACAGCACATCTAAGACTCAAATAGCAAATATGCTAAATTTCTATTTCAATGTTTTTAACTCTAGTCCTCTACCTTCTAATCTTCTGAACAAACCCCACTTTGATTTTAGGCTTTTGCCATTGTTTGGACATGGGGCTAAGGAACAATGTACAGCAAATTAAACTAAATGGTTTACCCCCAAACTACATTTCAGAGACAGCCTACCTAGGTATCTAAAATTATCTCAAAAACCCTGGCCAGGTAGCTCAGTTGGTCAGAGCACCAACCTGATACACCAAGGTTGTGGGTTTGATCCCCAGTCAGGGCACATATAAAAATCAATCAATAATGAACAATGAATCAATGCTCTCCCCAAACCAATAGATAAAATTTAAAAATAAAATAATCTCAAACAGTATGGAGGCTCCTCTAAAAAACTAAAAATACAAATAAAAAACCAAAAAACTAAACAAAAAACCCTACCAGCCCTGCCTGGGTGGCTCAGTTGGAGCATCGTTCCACACCCCAAAAGGTTGCGGGTTTGATTCCCAGTTGGAGCGCATACAGGAGGCAACTGATCAATGTTTCTCTCACTTGAATGTCTCTCTCTCTTCCCCACCCTCCCCCCCTCTTGTTTTAAAGATCAATAAACATACCTTCAAGTGAGGATTAAAAAAAAGAAAAAGAAACAAAAAGAACTATCATATGACCTAGCAATCCCACTTCTGGGTATTTATCTTAAGAAATCCAAAACATTCATTCAAAAAGATATATACATTCCTACGTTCACTGTAGCATTATTTATAATAGCCAAGATATGGAAGCAACTCAAGTGCCCATCAATAGACAAGTGGATATAAAAAAAAGCTGTGGTACATACATACAATGAAATATTACTTGGCCACAAAAAGAATGAAATCTTTCCAGTTCCAACAACATGGATGGACCTAGAGCAGGGGTGTCAAACTCATTTTCACTGTGGGCCACATCAGCCTCATGGTTGCCTTCAAAGGGCCAATTATAATTTTAAGACTGTATAAATGTAACTACTCCTTAACTAGGGGCAAGGAGCTCAGTGCTGCCACCAGGTAGAAAAACAAGGTGCTGGGCTGGATAAAACAAGGTGGAGGGTGGGATTCGGCCTACAGACCTTGTGTCTGCCACCTATAACCTAGAGGCTATTTTTGCTAAGTGAAATAAGTCAATTAGAAAGACAAATACCATATGATTTCACTTACATGTAGAAACCTAAAAAAAATAAATAAACAAACAACAGAAACAAATTGATAAATACAGAGAACAAATTGATGGTCACCTGATGGGGACTGGCGAAAAGGGGACGTGATTAACAAGTCCAAATGGCAGTTACATTGAAAATTATCTTAAATCTGCAGCAAAATTAGCTTTTAACATTCCATTCTTTGACCTCAACCTACTGTCTTCCACAAAACATATTGCTCCTCATACCTTTTTTACTTCATCTTCAAAACCTTTCTCCAGGTATTTGTAGCGCCTGATTAACTTGTTAAAAACCTATGAAGAAGAATAAAGAAATTTAATGATGACTTCCTGTGTACAGACTCCTAATAAAAAGATCTGGGTTAGGGCCAGTGAGATCCCTCCAATGGTATCTCGAGAACAGCAAAGAAGTGAACCTTTCACTAGATATAGGCTGTTTAAATTAGCATGGGAAGAGTCCATCCATTCCCAAACCCTGCAATGTACCAATGCAATACTGTTAACACTTTAATAGCACCCTGCAACAAATTTTTACTACCAGTATTGAAGCAAAGACTAATTATCGCTCAAATATAAGTCCTTTACCCATTTGTAGAATACTAACAGAGTAAGATCATGAAATACAGTTACGTCTTTGTAATGACATCAATAACAGTATCTGTAAGATATACTGGAATTCTTTGCTCACTATAATGCGAACATACCTACTGGTATACATGAAAGCTTCAAGTAAGATTCTGATTGGTAAACCTATCTGCCTATAACTCACTCACCTTTTGAAAAGTTATATGCAAAATAACTCCATGATGGAAATCATGACAGGGAACTGATTTTCTTTTCAGTTTGACTTTTTTTCTAATGGATTAATTCCAGAGGGACAAACAGGAAGAGCTAACTCAATCTTTTCCTAATTGTTTTTCTCAACACATTTTGAAGTTTTTAATTTATCATATTTCACCAAGAGCATTGCCTTAAACCTTCAGTTCAAATTCCTTAAATCTCCCTGTACCCTCTTAAAAGTACTCTTTCTTAAACATCAGTGAGATGGATAGTAGCTAACCAAAATTATTATGTCAAGTTTTATTTACCTGAGCAAATGCTTGCATTGTCTCTAGGTCTTCTTGTGCTGCGAACACACAGACATCTGTACGCATCATGTCATCTGCCAATGTACCACCTGGGGCTAAGGCATATTTTACAAAAAATTTGCAGTGACCTTCATTTAAAATTAGTAATCATTTCATGCTTACTTTGTGATAAAATAAAATTATAAAAATTCTAACATGATTTGAAAGCAATTTCTCAGTAGCAACATGGCTAGGTTGGTTCAATACATTTGAAAACAGTGAAACAATTTACAGGAATAAAGTAACCCACTTTAGCAACTCCATGAAACTTGCTGCATTAGCTATTCAATCATTAGTGCCAAATCTGTCACCCAAGTGGAGATGTTTAAAGTTAGTTTTGGTGTGTAATTTTACATATAGAAAACTTCCCTTCAAGCTTCCAAAGAGGTTGGCTATAAATATCCACAGATTAAATACTTTTTCTTTTAGATACATTTAGTATTTATAGACAAAAAATGTCTGATGTACACCTTAAAATACGTGGGAAGGGGGATGAAATTGTTAATAATTATTGAAGTTAGGTAACAGATCAAAAGTTTATCACATTATTCTCTCCAGGATATGTTTGAAAATCTCCTTAGTAAGTGTTTAAAAAAATTTTTATAAATAGGCTTACTGATAGTATTATGAATAGTAAGATATATTTCTTATTATGAACTGGTAATACAATGAAAAATTCATTTGACTGGGCACTAGACTATATGTTAAGTTCCTAGTTCCACTCACTGAGCAATTGTTTGACTGCATGCAAGTCACTGAAGCCTTTCTGAGCCTCCATTCTGCATACTATATACTGATGGAGTTCTAATTCTGTCAGCTTGGTGGTGAGGGTCAAGACCACCAAGGCCCTAGAATCAGGGCCTAGATAAATATTGCCATAAAATATTTTGAAATACCTCATAAGAGCTATGGAAATGAAATTACCATCATCATTTGAAGATATATAACTAAGTAGTACATTCTGTTAAAACATCCTGAGCTGCTGGTGAAGGCAGGAGTTACATTAAAGCAGCACTGTGCAGCAGAAATATGTAAACCACACAGTGTATTTTCAAATCTAGTAGTCATATTAAAAACAAAGGCTGAAATTAATTTTAATTTGTCAAATAGTTCATATTCTGGATTCTAACAATCTTCTCCATGTAGCACACTTCCCACAAAACCAGGCACTTACCCAGCATTCCCCCGGCCACCAGAATGTCAAAGAGTGTTTCTGCATATCGGCGGTAATCAAGTTTTGCTCCAGAGGCATCAAGAAACTTTGCTACTGCTTCCAAATCAGTACCAGTTTCAGTTAAGCCTTGAATAATACAGTCTTGAAACTGAGTAGGGTCAAACCTCTCTTTTTCATCTGAGGGGAAAACCCCAAAACATTTAGTTTCAAAAGGTTTATCAAAACACCAGGAAACTACCACCTTATGAAGTTATAATCACTGAATAAGTTAATTACATTCATTACAATTTCATTTATTTCAACAGCTAGAAAACAAACACAGCTAGATTACCCAAGACCTGGAACACTAACAAATAAACAGGAGACTAAACACATGTCCTGTGCAAGTTCCCCTCTACTAGTTTAAGGCAGGATTGCCTAAGCACAGAATCGTATAGCTATTCTTCCACTATCTTTTCATGTAAGTCTCATTAAATGAGCTGAATAAACTAGTGTGTTCCTACTACCAGGGGACAATTACTATCTGGAATGTTCTTCCATTGCCTCTGGGCTTTTCTGAAATTTAGGTCAACCTCCAAACCTCAGGCAAATTTTATCACTGAGTGAAATTTTGTCCAAACACGGGAGCTGGAGCTGTTAATTATTTTCTTTAAATGACCCTAACACTTTGTATGCTTAAAAAAAAGAAGAAGAAAAAAAAAAAAACGACGAAAATAAAACCCCCACTCCTTTGATACTTATTAAAGATCCAATATATGACAGTAACTGCGGTAGATCTTTTGCTTCAATCCTTGTAGCAATCTTGCAAGGTAGATCTTGTTGTTCCCACTATAAAGGAGAACTGAAGGCTGGAGAAATTCAAGACTAGTAGCTAAGAGCAAGCATTCTCTAGTCAAAATGCCTGCTCCAAATCCTGATCACCACCATTTTAACTGTCTGAGTAAATAGTTTCATTCTTTATGCATAAATTTTCCTATTGTAAATGGTGCTTAAGAGTAGTACCTATCTTATAAAATTGTTGGGAATGTTAAATGTTATAAATAAGATAGAAAGCACTCAGAACAGTGCCCTGGGTACACATCTTCTATTGAATTGCTATTACAGATTCCATGATAGGGTTTGATTTCTCTAAGTTAGATATTACCTTAATGCTCACACAGAATGAGGGTGACCAACTCTTCCCTCTTTTCCTCAGGACTTTCTTGTTTTTAACATTGAAAGGCCTGTGGTTCTGGGATCTATATACAGTCCTAGATAAATCAGGATGGTTGTTCACCCTATCCAAGACCCAATCATCAAGAATTAGGAGGGCATCTCCTAACAAGTGATCTCAATCTGGAAGCAATCTGGAAGCGGGGAAGTGACATCTCTTTCTGATGTTAATAATAAAATAAACGTGATGCCAGTAATCCACATATTCTAGAGGATACAGACTCTTCCCTATCTTTGCTAAATTGTTCTGGTTTCCAACTTCTGTTCCTCCTTTTGAGAAAAACTGGCTTAAATGTAAATAAATGAATCTGCAACAAATCACTCTTTGGTCTCTCTACTACGAGGAGCCTCGAGTTAAAGATTACAAAAGATTCTGTAATATACATCTCAAAGTATCTCTACTCGAAGTACAAAAACACAATTTATAGCCATTAGTTGACTCAATTCTCTTTTTCCTTAAAGTCTCATATGAAATAAGGTTGATATGTGCCTTTGAGCAACACCAAGAAGCTTTGGGGAACATATTAAACCGGATATAAAATATACCTGAGACCACATCTCATTTAACTTTGTATCACTAGTGTAGTAGTGTCTCACTACACAATTCAAAATTCATCTAAATTCCCATAAATACAGAAGTCATCCATATAATTTTAGTACTTTTCTTACTAAGCCTATGAGAAATGTTTAATTAAAAAAAATCAAAACATTACAATGTGAACTCTGTTCCATAATTAACTTCCATGGGTTAAGTCTGATTTGCCTCTCAGGTATCTTCACAAAGTTTGGGTGAAATTAGTGATCACATTAGGAGCTCTTTTTACAACTGAACCTTTTCTCTCAAGCAAAAATTTGCTTAAATGAAATTTGCCACTAAAAATTCAACTCACATTTTTCAAATAAAATTACTTAGAAATAATAAGGGTTTATCAACTAGAAATTCAAGTTCCTTTCTGGCATTTTCTCTTAAGGTTTTAGTACTGAGCAACCGCCTGCCAGAAGACCCAAGATATAAAAGTTATTCTGGAGGTTTGAAGAGAGACATTTTTAAAACATAAATTTACCTCTTTTTCTGGTTTTAAAACGCTGGCCTGATAGCGTTGGCTTTTGCTGCTTTTGATTATTCATAAAAGACACCCTAGGAAAAGAAAATAAGGCCTTAAAAATCAGTGCCATGACATTCATTTCAAAAACAAAGCATCAAACCTTGTTCTTGTCACATGTACAACTAGCTGAATACCCGCTTTGTCTTGACAATATACCTGAGCAGGCAAAAGTAATTCCTTTCGCTTTCATGAACAGAATTTCAAAACCTGCATTTCCCCTCCATCACAGGGGTGTTCAACCCGCAGCCCAGAATGGCTATGAACACAGCCCAAAAACAAAACCGTAAATTTTCTTAAAACCTTTTCTTTTGCTCATCAGTTTTCGTTAGTGTTTGTGTATTTCACGTGTGGCCCAAGACAACTCTTCTAGTGTGGCCCAAAGACGCCAAAAGGTTGGACACCCCTGCCCGACAAGAAACCCTTGGAAGATGTAATGTGAAATACACCTCTAGATGACTTTACACAGCCAGTGATTGGCAGCAAATCACCCACCATAAACATTTTTGGGTCTCTCTCTCATTCCTCTTCAAATTCGCTAACACCCTGCGCTATCTAAGCACCACAGAAGGCTAACAGAGATTACCACCTAGTCAATCGTGCACGTCAGTTTTGGGATGCTGTCAAAAGATGAATACCGTCTTTTGAGAAACCCTTCCCTTCTCGTACCTGTGATCCCACCGACTGCTTCACCACCCCCGTCTGTAAAATTAACTGTCAGCGGGCCTAGCCTCCTTTGGCCCATGCTCCACAAATCCAAGCCCTCTTCAAAGGGCACGTGTCCGCCTATTCACACCCTTCCTGTACCTCCCGCCGGAACGACTGACAACCCATGACTTCGCCCAGGATCCCCTCGGGCCCGGCGAGGCGCCACAAGGGCTACACCTCTCCCGGAAGCCCCTTCTTTACTGACCCCGTCGCCGGGGTCCGCCGCAAAGAGCGGACCACAGGAGCCGAGGCGCTTCGCGCCGGGGGCCCAGCCGCCCCGTACATCCGCCCGCCCTCCAGCGAAAGCAGCTGCGGTGGAGGCGGCCGCGGTGGTGGTGGCGGCTCCTCCGCCCCACCCGCCGGAACCCCCCACGCATACATCACCCAACAGAGGCCACAGTGGCTTTGTTACCCAGGCCGGGCTGGGCAGGAGGGGGGCTTGTCTCGGGCACTGCCTCCGCCGCGACACACCTCTGGGGTCCACGTTCCGGCCCGGGCCACCGCCCCTTGGCTTCCCCGATGAGGCTGCGGCCCCAGCCCTGGAAAACTGGCTCTGGACCCGGCCTAACCTCATGCGGCGGCCTCCCCCGGGCCCATCCAAACCCGGCCGGCACAGGGCCACCATCTCCCTTGCTCTCTACCCGGTGATGAGGGGCCGCAACCTCCACCCCAGACAAGAGGGCGCCAAGCCTCACCGAATTTAAGGCGAAGAGAAAAGGGCCAGAAATTCCAGATGTGGCGACAACTGCGGCGGACTCTCCTCTGCGACCGGAACTAACGCGAGGAGGAGGGAAGAAGTGCTACCCCCGCCCCACCAGTCCTCTATCGCGAGATTTCTTCCTCTGGCGTCTTGCCCCGCCCCTCTCCTGGACTTGAGCCTGTACCTTTCCCTTTCCTGGGGCTAGGGATGGGAAAGTAGGGAAAGCAAAGAGGAATTTCAAGGCTTATTTTATTCCATTATTGAGTTACAGATTTCTCGGACACTTATCCTCGACTAGCCTATCGTTCTCTGTTCTCTCCCGGCGCCGTTATCCGGCCTGTTAGCACATGGAAGGGTTAGAACAAAAGTCGCCCATCACCCTCACCAATCTCGAGAAAGTTGGAGACCTTCGCCCCAGTCCCTAACCCCAGCGGCCCCCTCCTCTTCCGCCGGAAGTCGAGGCTAGAGGGCGTGGCGGGGCGACGGTGTTGGTAGCGGTTTGGACATTGAGTTATTGGGTTAAGTTTCCTCTTCTTGGTCTGGCCTTGCCTCTGCTCCCAGCCGGGCTGGTAGAACTAGCTCAGACTAAGTCCAAAACGGGGTGACATTGCTCTATGGTGCTAGGCAGGTGGGGTCCTGCACTCTGTCCTTAAGAGCGAGGAAGAGCCCCCCCCCCCCACGCCCAGGGTTTAGGAAGGAATTCTAATCTCGGACTGTGGCCAGTAGTCTCCTTGCAGTAGTCTCCTGTGATTTTCTCCTGAGTGTGGTAGTTGTGGGAATTTGGGGAGTATCAGAGTCCCCTGGGGGGTATTTAAAAGCACATTGCTCAGCCTCACCCACAGAGATTATGAAGATCTGGTGTGATGTAGTAGACCATCCTGCGTGGCATGGGCCCAGCCCCCAGTGGCAAACATTTGCTGCTAAGAAACTTCCTAAAAACCATCCTAAACCTGCCGAGAACCAGTGTAACCAGTTCAACCACTTGTGTCCTTTCACTTGCAAATATCCCTCTTCTGTGATGTGATTACCAGCATCCTCTCCTTTGTTTTCTGTATAAGGTAACCACCTAAAGCCAGCCTGTGCATAGTTAATGAGGACCTTCTTGTAATGTGCCCAGTAAGATAATAAAAGCTCTTTGGAGAAAGGGCTGAGGCTTTTGCTCCCTTTGACAGAGAAGCCACTCTCCCTTTTCCACAGGATTCAGTAGTCCGTGTGAATTTCTTTTGTTTCAGTTACAAGACCATGGACCCCACGCAAGGGGGTCCGCGACAGTATAGGACTCAAGAATATGTGTTTCTAACTACGGCAGTTCATAGTCATGCTGATGCTGCTGATACAGGGACCTCAATTTTGAGAACCGCTGGAGAAGAGGCCGTATCCATCAGAGAGCTGGGGGACGAAAAGATAATGCATGTGAAAAGCACTGGACTTTACAATACAGCAGAAAAAAGTGCACAATGTCTCCAGGACCTAGCCTTATATTTTATTCCCTCTTTGTACCTCAGTTGTTTACCTCTGTTGCTTCTTTACTCTTCTCCTACCAGAGAAACCTCCAAATCAGGGTTTGTCCTTAAAATCACCTTCCCTGGATCTTGCTTCTCTTCCTTATCAAATATTGTGGTAAAGTAGCCTACATAAATTTACTGATTTTCCTTAATATCTACCCTCATCCCCTGTTTCTCCCAACTTCAGGGAAAATTGCTTTCTCAGAGTTCCTGATGTCACAGGTGTGCACAGGTAACCAGGTTCTTAGTGATCGAGGACAAAGAATTGAACCGAACACACAAAGCTTACAGCATAAAGAAAGAGGGGAGGTTTATTAAGTGATAGTACACACCACAGGACACGGGAGTGAGCCAACTCTGAGCAGAGAAGAAAAAGGACACGTGGGCTGGGGGATTCTATTCTTATAGGGGCAGAAGCCCCCTTGCTAGTCTTTGGCGGGCTTTTCCTGCACAGGTACAAGGAGTTGGATTTCAAAGCTACTGCGCATGTGTGGTTTCCCATGACTTTCTTGATTGGCTACTGGAGAAGGGAGTCCCACAATGTTATTTCATTATAATGATATAATGAATCAGGGGTAGCGGGCAGGTGCATTCTATGATTCAGAGTTATCCCAGAAAACAGGAACAACCCGTCTTAGGGGGTCTTTGTCATGTATAGATGTTTTCTACCTCAGCCCTGCAGGGCCTCTGGAGCTTCCTTCCTGACTATCTCCTGCCTCACTGAGATGATTGCCAAATCCAGTAATTCTCTCAATGCTCACCCTCTTGGCCTCTGAGCTATTTAAGGTGTTGTTACCTATTTCCTTAAAACTTTGCTCCAAAGGCCCCTGTTACCTCTCCTCATATTTTGTATTTGTTGGCTTCTCTTTTCTGTACCTTTTATCTCAGTCATGCTTTCTTACATGTGTTGACTTAAGAAATGCCCAAACTTACAGAGAATTTTTATAAGGGTTTATGTGAGCCAAACTGACAACATATGTTGGGAAGCAAAATCTCAAATCCTCCAGAGAGTGACAGGTTTGAAGTTTCTTTTATACATTTGGAATAAAGGAAGGCATGAAAGGAAGGTTTTGTGAAAGTGGGAGAAAGTAAGTGGGGACTGGAATACAGTAGGGTTAACAAGACTATGTGCTTTCTTGAGGGTCGTTATGCCTTTGAGGGGTCTGGAAAAGAGGATTACATCTGGCATTTCAAATATGTGTCAGCCTAGCTGCACAAGAAAAGTAGATAGGGTTGGCTTAGCCTTTTATTAAAGAAGTTATAGACCTGGGGCATGACTGCCCACCCCACATGGCAGCCTCATACGTTACCAGGGATTTAGCTGTTATTTCCACTTAAAATACTACCAAATTCATTTACTGAATCATTAAATATTTATTGAGTCCAGATTTTGTGCCCTTCCATGCTGAGCAAACAGCAGTGTGAAGGGCCTGGCCCATAAAAGGAATCAGGAGGCCTGGGTGTGAGAAGCAGAGGGAAGCCTTTTCCCCCAGAGTCCCAATGAGGCAGGAGACAGAATAGGAATGAGGAAGTCCTGAGACTGTGCAGCTGTAGTCAGTCAGCATCCTGGTTTCTGAAAATCCCCTTGAGGCACCTGGCAAGGGGCTACACTTGCACACTAGAGCTTCCGTTGTACTGTTGCCTCAATATCCTAAAGTAGCACTGCAGCTTCCTCCCCATGTGAGCAATCAAAGAGAATTATGGGACCCAATAAAGCCTGCACCCTTTCGGGAAGGGGGCCATTCTCTGGTTAGAGGTGGCCCACTCCTGAATCTTGGGATGTGTACTCTTCTTAATAAATCTCTCTTGCTTCACTTAATTCTGTGTAGACTCTTCAATTCTTTGTTCAGGATCACCAAGAGCCTGGACCCTGTCTTCATCTGCAACACCAATCCACACTATCTGGTGTCTCCACTGAATGCAAAACTGAAAGATTTTAGTGCTATTGATTACTCTTCTCCTAAAACTGTTTTTTTCACTTGTGAAGTCTGTTAAAGATACTCTGTTCCAAGCCCTGGCTGGCGTAGCTCAGTGGATTGAGCGCGGGCTGGGAACCAAAGTGTCCCAGGTTCGATTCCCAGCCAGGGTACATTCCTGGGTTGCAGGCCATAAACCCCAGCAACCGCACATCGATGTTTCTCTCTCTCTCTCTCTCTATCGCCCTCCCTTCCCTCTCTAAAAATAAATAAATAATAAAAAAAAAGATACTCTGTTCCACTAATAAAAAATATTAGCTACTTTTATATATAGCGGGTACACATGCATTCTTCTGAGCACTTTATATATTAATCTTTCTCCTCAAAACTACCCTATGATCTACACTTCTGGCCAAGATGGAGGCATAGATAGACATACCGTGTCTCTTCACACAACCAAGATAGGGACAACAACAATTTAGAAACAGAATAACAACCAGAACTGATATAAAACTGAACTGTATGGAAGTCAGACAACCAAGGAGTTAAAATAAAATTGATAGGCCCAGACCTGCAGGAGGGGTGGAGTCGGGCAGCTGGGCGGAAAGCGTTGGGACTGGCGTGTAAGGTATCCAGGGAGAGCAAGACCTCAGTGAGCGGACCCTAGGTGCACAAGTGGCAGCTGGCAGACCCCAGCTGAGGGGTGGCAACTGGCAGACCCAGAGAGGCGGCGATTGTGAAGCAAGGCACTGCGTGCAACCCAGGATCCCAGTGCTGGGAAATAGAGCCTTGGGGCACTGATTGAAAACACCTGTGGGGGTTGAGGTGCAGGGAGAGACTCCCAGCCTCACAGGAGAGGTCATTGGAAAGACCCATGGTGTGCACAAGACCACCCACACAGGAATTGGCACCAGAGGGACCCAGTTTGCTCAGGGGAAGTGGCGGAAGGGACTGAGGTCCCACAGAGAGCGGAGCAAGCACCATTGTTCCCTCTCAGACCCTGCCCCTACATACAGCGTCACCACCCAGTGACTGGATGCCCTGCCCTGGTGAACACCTAAGGCTCTGCCCTTCATACGTAACAGGTGCGGCCAGACCAAAGGAATAAAAAAAGATGGCTCAAACAGAAGAACAAATGAAAGCCTCAGAATCAGTACTTTTAAGCAACCAAGAGTAGCCAACCTATCAGATGCACAGTTCAAAACACTAGTGATCAGGATGCTCACAGAATTTGTTGATTTTAGTTACATATTAGATGACAAGGTGAAGGCTACACTAAGTGAAATGAAGAAAAATGTACAGGGAACCAATAGTGATGGAATGAAGGCTGGGTTTCACATCAATGGAGTGTACCAGAAGGAAGAAAAAAACTTATAATCATAAAAGAATGAAGAAATAAGAATTCAGAAAAATGAGGAGAGGCTTAGGAACCTCCAGGACATCTTTAAATGTTCCAACATATGAATTATACGGGTACCAGAAGAAGAAGAGGAAGAGCAACAAGTGGACAATTTATTTGAACAAATAATAAAGGGGAACTTCCCCATTCTGGCAAAGGAAATAGACTTCCAGGAAGTCCAGGAAGCTTGGAGAGTCCCAAAGAAGTTGGACCCAAGAAGGAACACACCAAGGCACATCATAATTACATTAGCCAAAGTAAAAATGAAGGAGAGAATTCTAGAAGCAGCAAGAGATAAGGGGGCAGTAACCTACAAAGGAGTTCCCGTCAGACTGTCAGCTGATTTCTCAAAAGAGATCTTGCAGGCAAGAAGGGGCTGGAAAGAAGTATTCCAAGTCATGAAAGGCAAGGACCTACATCCCAGATTGCTCTATCCAGCAAAGCTTTAATTTAGGATCGAAGGGCAGATCAAGTGCTTCTCAGATAAGGTCAAGTTAAAGTTCATCATCACCAAGCCCT